ACAGATCTGAGTATGATATTTAATCTAATCCCAATTTATTTTCTCATGAGAATCTTCAAAAGAATCTTGGAATTGGTCAATATATTGGACAATAACAGGTTTGTTATTAATATAGTCTCATTTTCAAATATCACAAAGCTTTTGGCCAGAAAACAAGAAATTTTGATAAGCTAATGCTTCATTGATCACTCTTTCTTGACTATTGAGATGAGAATTATATTCATCTATAGCTAGCGTGATGCCTGCAAGTTTTTCTGATAAACTTGCTATGCTTCTTTCAACCAGATTATATGTACTTTGCCTTGAAGCATACGTTCAGATTGTAATATAATTGAGATCAAGTTTTCAGAAGAGGTTATAATATTCAATGATATTTTTTAGGTATTTGAGGTTTTCATCAGGATCTCTGTCAACTAAAAAAATCCAAATTGACTTGACTTTATCCTCTTTTTTCAGGATTGATGTAAATTGATCATTGCAAATAAGATTCATCAAATCTTGCATGTGAGTATGTGACATAGTATCAACAAAATACTTAGGATAAACAAATATTACTAGTTGTCCATTTTGAAGTTCATCATTACTATTTTGAGGATCAATCATCAGGTAGATACTTGGAATTAGTTTTATTTTGCTACCATGAATAAAATCATGATCTTTAACGAATACTGGTTTATTAGCTGATTAAATTGCTTTGAATGTTCTTCCAACTGCAGAAATACCAAGTCTAATTTTTGCTTTATCATCTTGTGAGATGATAACAGCATTTGCCATAAACATATTAGCAATTGCTTTGACTTCTTTGACAGAAGCTAAGCAATAATATTCATCAGAGTGATTTTTTATTTCAGATCTTGAAATAGAAGCCAGTCTAACCAAAGCTGAATACTTATGTGCCTTTGCCATAAATATGTATTGGTGATGTGGTTGCAAATAATTTGAAAGGGTTTGTCTTGCAAGGTAAATATTATAATTTTGTTACAAATTTTCTCGCAAATGCTTAATTGATTGGGCTTTGATTATAATTTTTCTTCTTTTGCAATTTGCTATACCAAATTCAACACAATTATGAATTTTATCCCACAGATCAGGAATTTGCATTGCAAGTGGAGGATGTCCAGATATATCATATTATTCAACAATATTCTCTTCTAATAATTTTGCTTTCTTAGCTACCAGATGGCATTGTGCTTCAGTGTGATGTTTTAATTGCTTGAGTCTTGTCTGATATTCTTTGATTGACTTATCATCTGTTTGTATTCTTTTTTTCACTAGAGTTTTTAGCTCTTTATCACTTGTAAGTTGATATAATACTTGATTTTCAATCAATCGCTCTTGATATTCTTGTATAATTTTTGTTGCATGTCT